CATAATATTTGAACGCACATGAATTCTGTTGTAATTGATGTTAATGCGTTTTCTTTATACAATTTGCTTATAAGTTTGATGCCAGCAAGTGCTGAGTCACATCAAGATCTATTTTTTCTCCCTGAAAGCTTAACGATGTACTGGATTGTAGAAAAATGATACCCCATGTGTGGTAAACGTTTTGCTTGACTCTTTTGAATTTCAAAATACTGGATCATAGAAAAATGATACCCCATGTCAAGAAACTTATTGTTTATCAATGGATTCTTAAAATCTTGAGTTAGTCTTTATCTTCACAAGTTTATACCTGCAACAAGTTATTTCTTTTGAAGGATTAACTATTAACCATTTGTAGGATTTTCCGGGATGTACCGAGTGACATGACTATAGATGTGAGTGGAGTAACATTTTCTTTGCACAAGGCAAGTATCCATCTTGTTAACTTGAACTTACTTTTGTTCTGATCCCAAGCATGACGGTTCTGATTGTCCTTCTCTTTATATGAAGTTTCCTCTTGTCTCTAGAAGCGGGCGAATACGGAGCTTAGTTGCGGAACATAGAGATTCTGATATCTCAAGAGTTGAGCTTCTTAATTTACCAGGAGGAGCTGAGTCCTTTGAGCTGGCTGCAAAATTCTGCTACGGTATAAACTTCGAAATTACATCTAAAAATGTTGCTCAGCTCTGTTGTGTTTCTGATTACCTTGAAATGACTGAAGAATTCTCGAAAGACAACCTTGGCTCGAGGGCTGAGGAATATCTAGATAGCATTGTTTGCAAGAACCTTGAAATGTGTATTGAAGTCTTGCAACAATGTGAAAACCTACTCCCTCTTGCTGATGAACTAAAAATAGTTAACCGTTGCATAGAAGCCATAGCCTCAAAAGCTTGTGCAGAGCAAATAGCTTCTAGTTTCTCACGGCTAGAGTATAGCAGCTCAGGGAGGCTACACATGAGCAGGCAAGCCAAATGTGATGGTGACTGGTGGATAGAAGATCTTTCTGTTCTTCGCATTGACATGTATCAACGAGTCATAACTGCAATGAAATGTCGTGGGGTCCGGCCTGAGAGCATTGGTGCCTCCCTTGTAAGTTATGCTCAGAAAGAATTGACAAAGAAATCCAGCTTGTGGAATCCTTCTAGCCAGACTAAAGCTGATTCTGATTTAATTGATCATGAACAGCTTGTGGTTGAGACTATAGTAAGCCTTTTGCCAGTTGAGAAGCTTGCTGTTCCAATCACTTTCCTTTTTGGGCTTTTGAGAAGTGCAGTGATGCTTGATTGTGCTATTGCTTCCAGACTTGACCTAGAAAGAAGGATTGGATCACATCTTGATGTGGCCACTATTGATGACCTTCTTATTCCATCATTTAAGCATGAGGGTGACACCTTATTTGATGTAGACACAGTCCATAGAATTTTGTTAAACTTCTGTCAGCAGGATGATAGTGAAGATGATCTGGATGATGTTTCTGTTTTTGAATCCGATAGCCCTCCTTCTCCTTCACAAAAATCATTGGTTAAAGTGGCAAAATTAGTGGACAATTACCTTGCTGAAATTGCCCCTGATGCAAACCTGAAGCTTTTGAAGTTCATGGTCATTGCAGAAACCTTGCCAGCACATGCACGAACTGTTCATGATGGGTTATATCGAGCCATTGACATTTATTTGAAAGTATGTTTTGTCATCCTTCCTCGCATTTATGGGCACAAGATTTTTGCCAATCACATAGATGAATTTTCAGAGGGAAGAAATGGAGTGAGCCTGTTAGGAATGAACCCAATCCATTAGATTATTAGGTCTTTGGTTTCTTCAACTTAAAATTATCAGGTCTACAAACGGATTCTATACATCTTTCCTATAGTTCAATTCCATTTAACATAAGACTTTTTCTCACTCTTTACTCTCACTGGGCCCCTGACATCTCTGTTTTAATTCTTCTATCAATGTTTTCTCAGGCTCATCCAGGCTTGTCAGAGTTGGACAAGAAGAAGCTATGCAAATTGCTTGATTTCCAAAAGCTTTCACAAGAAGCTGGGGCTCATGCTGCACAAAATGAGCGCCTCCCTCTTCAGTCAATAGTACAAGTTCTTTACTTTGAGCAATTAAGGTTAAGAAATGCCTTGTGCTGCTCCTCTGTGGAAGATGACCCCAGGCCAATGCATCAGTCATGGCGCATGAGTAGTGGAGCACTAAGTGCAGCAATGTCTCCCCGGGACAATTATGCATCATTGAGACGAGAAAATCGTGAGTTAAAACTCGAGTTAGCTCGGTTAAGAATGAGATTAAATGATCTGGAGAGGGACCATGTGTTCTTGAAAAGGGATATGGCAAAGTCAGGTTCAAGAAAATTTATGAATTCCTTCTCAAGAAGGATCAGTAAGCTTAACTTCTTTGGACTTGTCTCTTCTAGAGGATCTAGTTCTCCTCCATCTAGGAATTCTCAGAGAATAGATTCAAAGGTGATTGAGAGAACCTGTGCTAGCACTGAGTAGGTATAGGTGCAACTATTGATTCTCACAATAATGCATTTGGATAAACACACACTAAAGAATGTAAATGTGTATCAGACTCACTTTCACTTTTCACAGAGATTCCCTCTTTTTATATTTTTTTTCTGAATACACTGATATTGATTCTGATTCGTAAACTGATTATTCTATTTGTTTTCTTGTTATGTTTTTCACCAAAATTACTATTCCTCCTCTCCTTAATATAAGATATATTTAACTAATTTGATTAGATTAAGAAAATTAGGTAAGTTAGTTAATTATAAGAAATTTGACATATTTTTCCTAATACACCATAATCATCTTCTTTAATATCTTCCCTTCCTCTTCTACTGATTATAGTTGAGGGAGTATCCATAGGGGTAATTTAGAAAAAATTAATAAATATGGAAAATAGGTCTCATAGTTAGAATCAAAATCAACTTAACAATTATGTCTTATATTAAGAACCGGAAGAATAATAGTCATGCTTGTGAAGGCAACTTATCAATTCATTTTTATGTTTACTTCTTTCTTTCGTGGTCACCTTGCATATTAGAAGTGACATTTGTTAGTATAAGGAGGTACCTTTCTTTGATTCAACTTCAGGTCTCTCGTGATGACTGCAACTGTTTTGTCTGATTATATATGTATGTGAGTATATCATAGAATGTTATGCTCAATTTACAGAACTTTATGAGTATTTAAATCAAGTGTAGATACCCTTAGTTTGAATACTACTTTTAGCTGAAATATATACTTTACTAATTGAAATAGAAATTATATGTCATCTTCTTTTAATCAAGTTTAAATTTAAATTGCACATTTTTAAAAAAAATTAAATATATATTTTAGCTTCAAGTTTTGAAAAATTTTCTCATATCAATTTGATGTGCCATGTTATTATTGCTTAACATTTATATGGCGAATTTGAAGAGGGAAAAAAATCACAAAAGACTTTTTTTTTTTACACTATCTCAAAAGACTTCTATAAATTATTCACAACAAAAAAGAATAGTCTCATCTCTATTTATTAAGATGGATTTGTTTCTATCTTGTCTCGTTTCATAAATGGCCTTATTTCGAGCCAAATATCTTTTTTGACGGCTTATAAATTATAAATTAAATGTAGAATTATAAGCTGTGGTTAAAAAAAAAAAAGGTAGAATTATAAGACACAAAGCACAAGAATCCTATCTCCAGGCCATATATCTTTTATAATAGCTTGTGAGATGGCTTGACAGAGTCGTTAATAGTAATATATTGGATGAATACTGATATTGATATCAAAAATTATTTGCCATTAAATATTACAAATTATTTGAGATTTTATAATTATATGAATGTAAATATAAAATTAATTCTCAAGTTTGCCTTCAATCAATTTAGTCTTTCTTATCACTATATATATTCTTGCCAGTTACTAGATTAAAAAGAAGGATATCTGTGTTTGAAAACAAATGAGTTAATGAAAGTTTTTATTTTATTTTAATTAAATTAAAAATATATATATATATATTTGCATAAAATTCAAAACCAACTTGAGGCTTGCAAATAGTAGAACTATACATATGATTAAAAGTAGCAATGGCCTTTCAAATATTCGGAGCATCAGAAATATTTTGAAGTGTTAGGTTATTAACTAGCATGATTAACTTTACTCTTTAACTATCAAAAGAAAATGCAAGGTCAATAAACCTCCCTTTTGCAGTCAACAGCATATATTGAATAATATTGTACACACATATATACATCCATAGGTAATCTCTATACTTATATAACATAAAATTTATAAAAAGTTGTATTATTAATAAATTATAAAAAAAATATGATTCATCTCTTTTTCCATGTAAAATATGAATTTATAGTCTAGTTTTATATTAAACATCCATATTGATATGAAGGGAACATTTTAACTTCTGTAATTTATAGTTAGATTATTCCTTTTTTCCCACTAAGTCGTGATATTATGAAAATAATAATACTATTTTGGTTTTTCAAGTTTATTTAACATTTTAAGAGAATTGTTTTAGCCAATCATTTTTTAAAATAATCTAGCCTTGTTTCAATGAACCATCATTGAAAAAAAATCCTCACAAGACCCTTTTTTTTTTTTTTTAAGTAAAAGTCTGTATTCAACTGAGGGTAAAACCCATCAAAGCAAACAAAAGTCGGCATCCTTCATCAAAATCTACCTCAGGACAACGCGGTGAAGGGTGACCGAGGATGTAAAAATTATCAAACATCACATGGGAGGATTTAGCTAGAAAATTAGGCCTTATTTTTGTTTTAGGGCTATCTTCTTTTCTTTTTTCTTTTCCGGCTAACTAGGGTTATCTTCTTTTATTTTCTTTTTTGGAATGAAAATACGTATCCACTAATGAAGTTTTTTTTTCACAGTTGTTAATAAAGTTTAGTTCTTGGGATATTTCCTTGCTGTGCATCAGGTTTTCCTTTTAATTTTGTGTTCCATGTTTTAGACTTTCCAGCAATCCTTTTCTAGTTTGTTTGGGTTACCTGTTTGTGTTGAATAAAATAATGAAAGTTTAGTTCTTTGCGAACCCAGCCGGAAGACAGCATAGGTCTCCCTTCTTCCCGTTCATTCCTTCATTGTTCAAGTTTAAAATCGGCGGCGGCCAATGGTCGGCATTTTCTCCCCGTCTTTCTCTGGCTCTTTCTGTCTCAGGGCTTATTGTGAAAATTCCTCCTGCTTCTGCATTTCAGGGGTACGAATTCTTCTGTACGTAGTTTGCTGTCACTTGTTTGGATTCCTCGTGTGTGGAATTGTTATATGCCTGTTCGTTTCATTGCTAAAATAGTATAGTATAATGGGAGATTGAAGTTCTACCCGAGATCTTTTTCTTCTTCTTTTTGTGTAATTTCCCGGTGAAGAACTCACGACTGCATTTCAAAACTTTGTTTACGTGAGTTTTGCTTGTTTGGCTTCTTTTTTTTTTCCCTCCTCCCCCGTGTGTGGTTGCTAAAAATCTGTTTTTGATAGTTTGGTCTGTGTTGGTGGACCTTGTTTCAATTCCCCTTCCTTATAAAGTTACATTTGTAAAGTTGAATGTGTAACTATGTGACAACAGTTGTGGTTCCAAATCAATGTTTGTTGCCTGAGCTCGGGAAGGTTGAAATATAATTATTATTTGAGTTGGTATGCACGTTTCCTTTAAATTAACATAACTAGAATTTGCTTAATGCATTTGGAATTTGACATGAGCCGTACCTCTCTACAATTTATATAAATATATTAATGTTTATTATATAACATGGAAGATTTTTGTAATCTTTCTCCTTCAATAATTATTTAACGTCTCCCTGACCTAGTCCCTGTCTCCCTCATTTTGCCTTATCCAGAGTATAAGGAGCAGCTGACCCTACTCAGCAAACATTGCTGCTTTCATGCCAGTGGTGAATTCTGGTACGATTACTTTAGTAAGTAATTCATATCGAATTTGCAGAAATGGCAGTGCGTTTGTGAATTTTTCTTCGCTTGGTGCTCTCAGGACAATGGATTTGACGGATGTTAGTGAAGCCCATGATTGTAATTATATAGAATTGCAGCATATAATGAATAATTATGCTACCTCAGGCTACTTTGAAAAAGCTGTGGAGACACTGTGTTGCATGAGAAATACAGCTGGGAAGCCTACTGTTTATGACTATAATGGTTTGATTTATTGCTATTTGAGATCCCATAATGCATCAACAGACAAGCTAGAGCAGTTATATCTAGGAATGAGACGGTTTGGTCCTGTTCCAAATGCATTAACCTTTAACACACTTATTAATGGGCTGCTGGGTCTCAATAAGCTGAAAACTGCCTTTTTGATTGCAAAAGAGATGCATAGTAGCGGGTTTGTCCCATCATTCAGCTTATTGTCTGGAATGCTGAAAAAACTGATATACTCAGGGCATTTTATTGATTCCCTCAACGTTTTTGACTTCATGGTGCAGTTGAAGTACTATCCTACTCAGCACACTGTGGATTCTTTGATTTCTATGCTTGGCAAGGCTGGGATGATCCAAAAAGCATATTTTGTACTATCTACCCTTCTGGAAGAGGGTTGCTTCTGTGGCACGCATAATTATAATAAAATTCTGTGGGCTATGTGCAAGTCTGGCCAGAGTTATGCCGCTCTGCAACTTTTTCATTTAATGAAAAAGAAAGGTATAGTCCCCACCGTCTGCTCTTATACTGCTTTAGTATATGGATTTTGTAAAGAAGGTTGGCATGAAGAAGATCTTCTACGCTGTCTAGATGACATGGAAGGTGATGGTTGTAATCCCAATGTCAAAACATACACTATAATCATCAAATTTCTATGTGATAATGGGAAAATTGATCAGGCACTAGAATACCTAGCCAAGATGCAGAGTAGAGGATGTGAACCAGACTTGACCACCTATAATGTAATTCTCCGTGAACTTTGTCATCAAGATAGAGAGAATGATGTTGTGGGACTCCTTCAGGTGATAAATCAGAAAGGATATCTTCCTAGTCCACATACATGTGCTGCTTTGTCTGGAGGCCTGTTGAAAATAGGCAAATCAGGGTTGCTTTGGAGATATTACTAGATGTGATTTCAAAAGGCTATGCTCTGGATACTGCAGTTTTAAACATATTATTCCACTGTCTATGTCTCGAGGGAAGATTGCAAGAAATGATATCTTTGTTGAAAACGATGATGGAAAGTGGATTTTCTCCAAATAATGTTTCATATAACACAATTTTGAAGGGATTCGCTCAAGAGAATCTTGAGGAAGCTTTTAAACTCCTAGATTGTTTTGAGTGGGTAACTAATAAGCCAGATTCAGTTTCCTTCAATACAATTTTGTGTGCTGCATGTAAACAAGAAAACTCTTCAGTTATTGAGAGAGTCTTGTCTCGCATGGAGTGTGAAGGCATTAAGCCAGACACTATTGGTACAACTTGTTTAATTCAGTATTTCTGCAAAGTGGGGAGATTCTCTGCATGTCTGGAGCTTCTAGAAATGATGGTGCGTGATGGTTGTTATCCAACAATTACTTTTAACGTGGTTCTGGACCAACTTTGCAAAAACGGGTTACTTAAGACTGCATGCGACTTTTTCAGATATATTCATAACTCTTGTTTTCCGCCTGATATTATTTCATATAACATTCTTATAGATGCTTCAATCAGAAAACACAATAAGATGCTTTTAAGCCAATTATTCAAAGGCATGTATAGGCAGCACCTGAAACCAGATCGATATACTTATGGATCCATGATAAGTGGTTTCTGTAGGGAAGGAAAAATATCAGTTGCTCTGCATATAAGAAAGCGAATGCTTGAGAATGGGATTATTCCAGGCATTGCAATATACAATGCCATACTAAAAGCAATGTTCCAAAGAGGCAAGTTTTGGGATATTATTGGGTTATTAAAAAATATGGCCATGGAAGGGTGTCAACCTGACTATATTACATGTGAGATTCTCAAACGAGCTACATCAAAGGGCTGGTTGAAGAGATATCCTAAGCTTGCAAGAATTCTGGAGCTCGTGATATGTGATAAATAAGAAATAAAATCACCAATGACTGACATTGGAGTTTTGCCACATGTTAGCAAACTCTTGGTTTGGCAGGCTCAAATTGGACACCTTCTGATCTTGATGACCATAATTTTGTGTGCCCTTCAGAACTTTCAGAGTTTTAGTCAGGTAAAAAGGTTTGACACGGATTTGTTTTCTGATAGTTTCATGTTTTAATTGTTAATTTTGCGCCCCACCGAGAAGAATTAAGTCCTCATTGTAAATAGTTATAGGGGATTGTTTATGTCCCACCCTGCATGAAGAAGTCACTTTGTTTGGGTTAGGTTGTCTATTGTATCATGTCTGTTGTTTCTAGGCTGGAATAATGCTTTCTTATTTATAGGACTCTTTCTGTCAAGTGCCAACTTTAGTTTGTGGATGGAAAATTTTTTCCTCCTTGTTAATTCAATTTTAATAGTTATTTTATTTAAATTTGCAATTGTCATTGCATTCACCATATATGGATGTCGCAATGCATGCCCCCGCCCTACCTATCCTTCAGAAAACAACTATCTTTTCCACCGGGTATGTTTCAGGTCATTCATGCAGCAGAGGCTGTTACGGGTCTGTTTACCTCTCCTGATGCAAACACGCCATTATCTTTCATGGTACCATCAATTTTCAAATTCTATATAGACAAATATTTTTTTATTGTATATAATTTCTTTTGTATATTCTTATCACACTTGCTAGTGTTAAGCTGTTAATCAGAAAAGCGAACAGTCAGTGGTCCTCTCCAGACCTTGAAATTGAAATTAAATATGGATTCCACTGATTCATGATCTCATTTGGGTCACAATTCTCCGCACCTAATGGGGCAATTAACCATTGGCCAAAAGGCCAAAAAAAAAAAAAAGCGTTTAACCACTGCCGTTATTTTTGTCCGTGTCTGTCTTAGGCTGCACATCTCTCTCCCATCCATATGCCCAAGCCAATATCCCTTTCCGTTGTGTTGCTCTTATAATCGAATATGATTAGAATTATATGCTTCTTGAAATAGATTGGGGTTGTAAAATGAAATTCAAGCGCCCCGTCTCAGATTATATTCGTTCTTCGTTCCAATGGCAGTTTGATGCTGTTTCTACACTTCCCTCAAATTATAAACTAAGTATGATTTATAAGAACAAAGATGTTCCTAAGACTAAGATATTTCTCAACATGACAAGTTTGCAATGCATATGTTTTGTAGGTGATGTTGAATATCTTTTCCCAGGAAGAGGAATGAAGTGGCTTTGACTGACTGGGGGTTTCGATATTTATATACAAAACCTTTTATTCCAACAATGCTTCTTACACCACAAGATTGATTTCGCCGCATGAAGGTTGAAGAGTTTTGTAAGTCAGCATATCCATTCTGGGCAATTGTTGACTGATACACTTGATATCATTTTGGACTAAGATATAATTTAGAATATATTTATTGTTGCATGCAGAGATATATTGCTGGATAAAAATGTAATGGGGATGAAGTGTCTTGCACTCTAGCTGAAAGCTGTAGCTGTCACAAATCGTGATTGCCAATGGAGTGAGTCAGCAGAAGTTGTTAATATGATCAACGGAGTAAACTCTGCTAAATATATGGATGCTAACTTGGTGGAAAGATATCGGATGTTTTCTTCTTTGGATAGGATGTTATTTTGAATCATGTACATAGGCGCATAGGGAGAGGTATGTTACCCTCAATGGGGTAGTTACCCCCAACCGAAATCCTGAAAATAGTCGTACGTGATATTTTATTCTTAGAATCATAGTTTTGATTGAAAACCAGATTGGATTGGCTGAACTGGAAATTGGTTCAGTGTCTGGTCTGGAGATGGTAGAAAATCAAAGGGCTTGAGAACCAGTCAAGAATTGGCCAAACTGGTCTTGAACCGCTGGTTGAACTGATCACTTTTTATTTTTATTTTTTCAAATTTCAGTCCATACTTCTAAATTACAATGCATGCACATGTACACCCCTAATAAGCATTGGAAAGGAAAGAAAAATGTGTTGTAAATATAATATTTTTACTCTAAAATGACAGAGTTTTTGTTTATATATACATATACACACACATATATATGGATTCTAAAGACTTAAATGTTGGATCGTAAATAATTGTCAATGAATCTTTAGATTTTTAGTTTATACAATTAATTGTTTTTGTTGTCACAGAACTTTTCATCAAGTAAATATGATATGGGAGAGATTGTTACTAAAATGTAAATTTAATAAGGATTAGTTGCGCATGATTTAATATTTAGGGATTAACAAGAAAGCCACATCAAAATATTTAAAGACCAAGGTGCATTAAGGTGATAAGATCATAAGCAAATGATTCAAAATTCAAAAAGTTTTATGTAATCTAGCCTAGGTTCTAATCTAAGTTAACGAGTATTAAGCCAAAAAAAGTCTAAATTAACAACCTAAGCAAAAGTAGCAGGCGTATCTTTTATATTTGCAGTGAGTTGTCATTTGGAAGGAAAAAAAAAAAAAAAATCAAAAGTCTCACATTGCACTTTTGAATTACCAGTATGGGAAGTCTACAAGTATATAACACCCCATAGATCAATCTAGGAAGAATAGCAATGTTATTCTGCAATGTCCCAGCGATTTTGTGCACTCTGGCAACTTTTGCGATCATTAAATATAATTGAGATTTCTAGCAACATACAAATGATTAATGCATTTCCCAGTTCGGTTCTCCTTCCCCCGCTCCCAAATGAATTGAGTCATCTGTATCAATCTCGAGGTGAAGAAAACCAGAGGTTACTATCAACCTCGAGAGCACAGGTGCAGTTAAAAAGGAAAACAGAAAATATAATTGAATCAGACTATAATCCATCAGTTATCCCCCCTCGAGATATCTCATTCCTGCTTCAGTCAGATTGCACTGTTTCTGCAACTGGAGGTATGCAATCCACCTTATACCGGAGCACCTACGATCCATGTAATATGGATACACGTCAGAAAACCGTAGTGCTCTCAGTTATTCATGCATCAATTGAAAAAGCGAAAGAAAAAAACAAAAGAAAGGCCCTGTCAATGCATCACAAATCAATCACAGGAAAGTAAACAGAGAATTAGCCTAGTGGACAAAGGGTCTAATAAGACAAGGATTTTGTATAGGAGATTGCAGTGTCTTCCGATTCCCTTGTCCCATAAAATTCCGTTGGTAGGTGACAGCATGATTCCAATTGGAATAATAACACAATTCCCGCTTTCCATTCAATTTAATCAGTCAACAATTATTTACCTTCTTGAAAAAAGTGGAGTATGTATTGTCCCAAATCAGTTTATAGCTCCCAGCCTCTAATGTGCAGAAGTTACCCTAAATTTTTTTTCACAAATTCAAAGATAAGAAACTCTTCAAGAGCTTGATGAAACATAAAATCTGCAATAAACTTGCCAAACTCACTTGGTCAGAGTCATAACGCCGGTAAGGTAACATCAGCTGCATCATATCCAGTCAACCAGCATGAATATCAGAAATAAACACACAAATAGAGAATATGATGCGCAATACTAATTTCTGCAGTGCATAGAGCCTAAAGGATTGATGAGACAAGCTAACTGAAACTAACAGAGCAAATGCTTTTCATTAGCATTAAAGGTTCAACTACATGAAACTGACATTTCAATTAGAACCTAAATAAAAGAGAAACTTCTGAACTTGAATGCCAAGTGCGTATGCTTGATTTTCTGGTGCATATCCTGTAGGTATTTTCTGTACTTTTCTAACCAATCTATGACTGTGTAAAAAATTCATTTACTTATAAACCATTATGAAAATCCAAAAATCCCCTTGAAGTTCGAGTATTGCTTAGACAGTGGCCCTTGGTAATAAGATCAACTCTAATGGACTAAAAAATCTCAACAGTCCAATTATTTCTCCACGGCATGACATCCACTCTTACTTGGAATATAATGTCTAGTGCTTTGAAGGAAATATAGAAATCCCTTTTTCTTCCGTTCTTCTTCAGAAATACTTCTTTAACCCACCAAAAATAAAATGCTATCAGAAAATTTAACAAAATAAGACTGAGATATTAATGCATAATGGCATTGCAACTTACAGTTTTTTCACCAGATGGACTAATAAACTCCAAACTAAACCCAATATCCTGACAAAAAACAACATAAAAGTCAATATCATAATGCAGGGAAAAATATACATTGACCTCTTCAAGAAAAGGTTGAGCAGAAATACCATATTTATCTTGCCTTGCACTAATGAAAAATCCCAAGCGATGTATGAGTTTACTGAGTCCACTGTGAGTAAAACCTAACCAAAGAACATCATCATAGAATTTTATACTATACATATATATAGCAGGACGTGAACTTCTGTTTGAGTGCACCAAAATAATTGGCAAGCTCTATTAAGTTAATCTTCATTATTGTTTTAAATTGTTTTCCTCATGTTTAAGGACCACCTGTCCTCCCATGATGTATTGGCTTCTCTTTCCATCAACAAATTCTTTGTTAGATGAAAATGTCACCCGTTCACAATGGTCTATGATCATTTCAGAACAATATACTCTTTCCCACCGTTAACCATACCATGCAAACATAATTTACGCTTGAACTTGTCAAGAGTATTACACAGATACAAAAAGAAAATAAAAATAGGTTGCCCTCAATCAAAATTCATTCATACTTTTTGCAAGAACTATAATCATACCTCATAACTTTTTCCAGCAGGTACACTTATCTCCTTGTAGTCATCATTTTTCCTAAAATTTGACAACGTGTCTTAAGAAATGCTAAATCAAAACTTTTATTCCAACAATGACAAGATAATATTCCAAAATTACCCTTCTAATGCCCCAGCAACTTCGGCAGAAATGAAGAAAGGTGCATTTGAAAAGACCTCACTGACCAAAATGAAATGTTAGTTGATACAAAATGAACTAAAAATTTAACGAGTAAAGGGAAGACATAAACACGTTCAAGGAGGCTAATTAATTTGGAAAATTCAAGCTAAAAGCTTAATTTGTTTGCTACAAGCAAAGCGCATAAGTTGCAGAGCTGTCCCAAGAAAACTAAGTAACACTTCCACAGCTTTTAATTCCCGAGTCAAAAGCTAATACTTGGGTGGTTGAATCTGGAGCTACAGATTCCACGACTAGTAATTATTTTGTTCAAAATTTTACTCCATGAAAAGGAATTTGGCAATGACAATTGTCAGAAGATTTGATTCTGAAAATGTCCTTCTTGTGCCTAATTGAACAGTAACTTATTATCAATTATTCGAACAACTTAAAAGCTTAATTGCGCCACTCACTCCTCTTCTAATTGCTACAAATTTTAGGACTTAAAAGTCGCTACTATATGGAAACCCACTATACCAAGATACCGATTGATACATGGTAGGCAGCAACTAATTTTCATAAATTCTTCCTGCATATGATGTATGTACCTCCTGTAATATTATTAGTAGTTTATTATAATTGACTACCATAGCATGAACAATGTGAATAGAAGAGCATAACAGTACCTGAGAAACCTAATGAACCTTTCAAATTCCGCTGTGTAGACATCAACAGCTTGTTCCAAGACAGTAATTTGATCCTTTTTCCTATCAGGTTACCAAGAAAAATTGAATAATAGAGGAATTACTATAGTCCGCCAAATTACATCTGCATTAAAGCCAAAATCAAACATACGGACAAAAGAACATGACAAAACTCCTAGCAGTCATTATAAAAGGTTAAACACCAAATATAGGAGCATCAATAATCTTCTTAGGTAAGTTTTACGTATAATAACTAAACAATAGCGAGAATACTCTGAAAAGCTTACATAAATAGGCTTATACAGAACAATTTTTAAATAAGCTAACCTATAGAACATATAATATAGGCAATGTGAGACCGAAGAACATCAAGGCCTAAAATTTACTCTTAACTCCAACACACCTTTTTTCATAGGAAATGGAGAATTTATTATGAAAAAAAGATTTTTAAATAAAAACAAAGACCAATCCTCAAAATTAATGAAGGAAACAGTTAAAATGACAACATTGCTCGATCTGTAATAGAATCAGACTAACAACAGAATCACCACATCCAACCTACGAGCTGAGACCAAAGAGAATAAACAATCAAGATGCATAATGTCATCACTCAATAGCCACTCATAACCGATTACAACAGCCACTGTGCAGTTTGAACCTGTAGCTGGGGGTGCATGCATGGCTCAGCAAGCTGGTCAGGTCCACCCAGCCATCTTAGGCCCAGCCAACTAACTGGGCTGGCCCTCTGACCATGCATGGCTCAGTTAGGTTTTTTAGGAAAAATAAAGGGAAAACCAGGGCTATACAAACTTTTAGTTTTTTAAAAGAAAATTGTAATTTTACAGGGATTTATATGGGATTTCAGAAATCTGATGGAACCTGATTCCAGAACCATGATTCAAGTATTAAAAATAAACCACAAGGTGCAAGTCTAATGGATTAAGCTACAGTTAGTGAAGAAAATGGATAAAATACATGAGAACACTCTATACTCCAGTTGTTCAAGAGAACAGAATCCCCCATACAGCACTCACCGAATGCTTATCCTCTCCAAGCCCCATCAACCACAACTTATATCTCCCTCCCTCACTTCAAATGTTATGAAGCTTACAAAGTCTCCTGGCCCATTATTTAATATTTATAAGTTACAACCGAAACATTATATAATTTAACTGGACTGACTGCAGGCTACAAGACTTTCGAGCTTCAAAAGTAACAGTAGCTTAATGAAACCAACCATAAACTTTGATATTTGGTAGTGGAAATTAAGAATAAGACTTCACAAACTGCCAAAAATGCATGTTATCTCACAATTTATTAGTCCCAAGCCGCTCCCATGATAATGAAAGGAATAGTCGAATAACAAGAATCATCATCGTGAGGCTGTATAATGGCGGTCCATAGCGATGTCGTTGCTCTTCCA